ACTGTAAACACCTTAGAAATTTTATGCTTTATAGCTTTTATCGCAAAACAGTAAGACACATTAGAAAATTTAAAAGCTGCAGGAAAGTGGCAGTAAATTACCGTTTCGGTGCATTAATTTTCATTCATCAAAACAAACAAATCTGACTGTTCATCGCAGAAGTTTGTGGTTGGTCCAAGTCTCGTGCTGCCCGGCGGTATAAAAACGGAAACTTACTATATCGATGGAAAGAAATATTCTTTGACTTTTTTTGGCATGTATGCCATATAATGGATTAACTTGTATCGAGCTCGCACGGAAGCAGCAGGTTTGTAAAGCACGTAGAGTTGTTTGATGCTAAAATTGGACATGATTTACTGTGTAACAACATCTCACTGTTAAATTAACTCAAAGATTACATGTAAGCTTAAAGCTTTTTGAAAAATGGGCGATTGCTTACTATCGAATTTTGATCTTGCAAAACTCCATTTTGATCGATCCAACATTATTAGAAATTTCAATTTTTTCTCTTTGCCGTGTTCAGCTACTATACATTCAAACTTGCAATTAAAAGGATCGACAAATCGATTGTAATATTCTGTATTTTAAGTTGGTTTTGGGATTATCCTCAACGAGGCACATATGGGTGTAGGTTTGGGTTTTCTGTGGTGACTTCTTTGCTTGTTGTTGAATCAATAACAAGGCAATAAAATATTGACATATCCTTTATTTATTTACCTTTTTTTTTCAGAGAAGATGAACTTGATCCCAAATCAAACGATAAGTGCAGCAACACTTTTCGAAGATTTCTGATGATGAATTAACTAAAAGAAGATGCCGGTAGTTTGTCTTTGAAGCACCTGTATCAGAGTGACAATAATATGAATAAAGGTCTTACTCACGCGAAGATCTGGGTTTTTTACTCCTTTGTAGTAATCTAGCACGTACAATAAACACTTCAGCAACCAGAACAAATTTAAAATCCTGGCATAATTATTCCAACCATTTTGTTCTCTTCCTTTTCATATAGGGTGTTATTTCAAAGATTTTTCCCTCAAAATATTAGTTTACTACCTAAGATTGTGACTGAAGCTCACGCTAATTTGAAGAAAAAGAAAACTAGCTGCAACACTACTTTGAAGCACTATGCAGTCATGGTCAAGTACACCCCTTTGGAACGTTCGAGTCTAATTTCCTGTCTGATTTGCTAGCCGGTAGTATTTTGTTTCCATTTATTCATCATCAATCCATCATCAAAGTTCATATGAGTTGTGGTGCATTACTGCATAGTGCACATTTTCCCCCGGCGCACTATCATTTTATGAACTAAAAGAAGGCCGGGTTCACGCCCTCGTGCGTCTTGTTTTTTCTTAATTTCCGTTTCGCTGACACAGCTTTAGCAGAAATCTCTCTATAGGTCGTTTTCGTCGACAAAACGAAAAGCAATATCGCTCTCCGCGTCTTCCGCCATTTTGTTCTGCGTCAATTCGTGAAGGACGCGTGGCTCTGAGCGTGGGTCATCCACGCGGAACACATTCGCGCTATGTGATTGGCTGTCGTCTAATCCCCCTTGGGATCTGTGGTCTTAAAAATAACTCGAGACGAATTACCTATGTAATAGGGTGTGTATGGGGGATGCCTCCTCTGCCCCCTTTATCCTCTTTTGCCTTGAGATTAATATTTTTCATAGGAAAATTCACCTCGTGACTAGGGTTCTACGTGAAATTTCACGCGAAATCTAATACCGCGATGAGTGCGATATCGGTTTTTCAAATTTAACCAGGAATTCTTGAGTGAGATGGTGAATTTTCCTCGAATCGCATAACTTTTTTATGAACCAAGAAAAAAAAAAATTCTTTCAGCTAATTTTTTGCCTCACACAAGCAATCATTGACCCACTTTAACCGAACCGAGCTAAAAAATAATTCACATAGATTTTTTAATGCGTAAATGAATCAGTGAAGTAGTATTCATGATCGGTAGCATAATTTGCGTTGTCGATGTTTTATAGACTTCTCAAAGAAGGCACCAGGCCCCAGTGGGATAGCACTATCCATCGGATAAATCACTATCCAACGGATAAGTATTAGGGAAACCAATTGCGCTATAGGCGAATCTTTGTTTACACTTTTTGCCTCATTAACATATGCTAATCACTATCTGATGACGCTGATAAAATAAAAACTCTGAATATTGAAAGGACATAACAGTTTTAGTTCTCTCTGAAAATTTGAGCCCAATACACCGAATGGTTTCGGAGAAATTCTCTTCTAAACTCGAAATTTTACAGAGAATGTATGGCTCATTTAACTTTTTTGCCACACAGTAATTTCGCAGTTTTTGATGGCTGATATTTCCTTAAACGGGCTGAAAATTGCACAAATTGCTCAACTTAATCAGCTCTTTCAATTTTGGCATTTAGTTCATATATACAACCACGGCTTCTATAAGTTAAGTCGTATGCTAATGAGGAAAAAGGTTAACAATGACGTCAGAAAGATTCGCCTATACGCTGGATAGAACTTTATTCAGTGGATAGTGTTATCCGTCTCTTGAACAACTGATGCCTGAAGACATGGATTTTCCCTCGACTTTGCACGCTGCCCCGAAACTAAAGAAAGCGAAAGAAAAACAAAACAAAAATTATTCGGTATTTTACGAGACAGCCCAAAAGGAATTTAGAGATTAGTAAACTGCTGACATATTGACGTCCAGTTAATCTGAGTAAAAGAAAACGGGTTATGTCTGCAAGATTGTTTGGCAAGGCCAGGTTGTTCACAACACTTCATGTTTAAAGTTAATCCTGAAAGGCCGCTGCCACAATTTTCAAATTATCCTCCGGGCTGTTTTTTGCACTGACTACATTGTTCTTCATGCACTTAATTATCGCTATTATCATCAGCGATTGTCGATGCAAATCGGCTTGCAAGAATCGAGAATGAACAGCGACGAGATTCTTTGGCTTCGCAGGCTTTAACTGATGGACTTTTTGATTTATTTCGAAGAACGTTCTCAGATTTTTACTTCTGCTAAAGGAAAGCTGTTACTTTTCTATTCGTGTAAAAATTTGTTCACTGATGAAATTGACAACTTTTCGCGATGTTCTTTGGCCATTCCCCTGGCCGGATTGGACTTTATTCAAATGATGCAAAGTACGCAGGTTCCAGAGTTGTTTGGTAAGCTTCGGACGGGTGCAATGTCGGTCACACTTGTTTTGTAAGTCGCAGTTCAACTGTAATACCCACAGTTGTTCTTAAGATTGATAGCGCTATCCACTTGATATATCCCAGTACCCACTTGAAAATCATTAGGGAGACCAGTTGTCTTATCCACTGAATAGAAAAAAAGATATATACACTGGATACCACTATCCACCTTTTGAACAACTCGGGCCAGATTGCAAGACCTCTCTTAGTTATGCTTGTTTCTATTTCGAATGGGCAATATATCAGATCGAGCTTTCAGAGTAGTTACCTGTGCACGCCAAGCCATCACCCGTATATCCCGTCGAGCAACGACATCTATAGGAGCCAAGAGAATTTGTACAGACAGCATTTTGGTGACAGTGGTTGTTGTCTCCTGCACATTCATCAAAATCTTGTTTGAAAAAAGAAATAACAAACAAACAAAGAAAAAACAAACAAAAAGCAGTTAGAAACCAAGTGTAAAACGGAAAAAAAAGTCAATAAAAAGGATCCTCGCTGACTCCAAAAGGGCACATCTCTGAATCAGTTCAATGGATATGTTGACACCTATGGTCCTCAGATTTTCTTTTAACCTCAGTGGTATTGTCCTTAATGCCCCCACCACTATGGGTATTACCTATGTCCTTACGCCCCATATCTGTCGGATTTCTCTGGCGAAATCTCGATATTTTTCTTTCTCGTCCTCTTTTTCTCTCACCCTTCCATTATCTGGAATTGCCACGTCTATAATTTGGCAGTTGTTCTCTTTTTTGTCAATGATCAATAGATCCGGTCTCCTAGCCTCAATTTCATGGTCTGTACCTATACTAAATTTATTTACTTATTTAAAATTTATTTATTTATTTATTATTATTATTATTATTATTATTATTATTATTATTATTATTATTATTATTATTATTATTATTGTTGTTGTTATGTATACACTTTCAGTGTTCAACTGGTTGCTAGTTCTCGGTACAGGTCACGTCTTCCAACACTAGTAGTCGAGAACCCGTCGGAGGATTCGTGCTGTCCCTAATAGGACAGTCTTTTGAATCTGAGCGACATCAAGATTCACCCCAGTGCTTTCAAATAGTAGTAGTAGTTCGTTCCTTGTTTTGTTTTTTTTTGTGTTTTGTTTTCGCACCCTATCACACATTTTTGGCCAATGTGTTGCTACAGAAAAAAATTTGCTCTCGTCGGTTTCTTTTTTTCTGTTCTTTTTTCTTGGCCATTTTTAAAAGAACTTAAGAATTTGTAATTTCACTCGCGCTACAGTTTCTGTACAAATATGCACTTGTGTTGCAGTACAGATGCACTCCTTTATGGGCAATCAGAGTTTAATAATAATAATAATAATAATAATAATAATGATAATGATAATGATGATGATAATGATGATGATAATGATAATGATAATGATAACGATAATAATAATAATAATAATAATAATAATAATAATAATAAGGCTCCACAGTACCTTCTGAACAAGTGTAGTTATGGCAGGTCTCACAGCTCACGTCATTCCACATAAAACTATGTCCCACTCCCAAGGTGTGAACGCAGTCTTCATTGTTGAAGTTGTTGGGCTGGTTCTTAGCCCAGTAAGTGAAATTGTTTGTTTGATTATCTGCCCAGACAAAAGTTCCCTCCGTACCCCTATCGTTTAGCCCAATCCAGCCCTTGGCGCCATTCATCCTATGTTGAATATAGACGTTCTCTTCTTGGTTTCGTACACTGATGAGATTAGCGCTGTATGATTGGCAAGTACTCTGGGCTTCAGTCCAGTTCTTACATGTTTGACTGGTTGAGTAGCAAATGCCACCAAAATATGACCAACCAGGTTTACATACATCTGCAGGAACAAAGCAATGAAAGGTTAACGAGGTTAAATCCATATTTTAATATACAGCTATTTCGAGAAAGGTTGTCGGAAAAAGAGCGCGCGACAATTCCAAAAGGTATTTTGAGCAGTTTTGAGCGACACTGTTCTTCAAAGAAATTTGAAAGAATGGCACGGGATGTTTGCGATGTTATGTTTGCGAGTGCTAAAGGAAAGCAACAAAAGTAGGTTCGACAGCTACAGTCGTTAGGAACAACATATTGATCATATCCCAGATTACCTTTCGGGATTGTTGCGTGCATATTCTTTCCGACAACCTTTCTCGAAATAACTGTATATGGTCGATTCCCGATAACTCGAAGGGAAGTCCGCGAAAAAAAGTTTGAGTTATCGGAAGTTCGCGTTGTCGAAAGTTCGGGGAAAATAACTGAAAATAAGGAAAAACGGTTTTTCAAGGTGGTGACTGGTAAGACAGTTGGCTTTGGGGAAGGAATGCAATGCAAGTACCACGCACACTTCACTTCCAAGGCCGTATATTGACATTTTGAAAAAAAAAAAAGAATTTGTAAAAGAAAAAAGCTTCATTAATATACAGGGTTGGACACTGTATTTAAACTGGTCAGGATTGAAAACCTAAAAAAGTGAAGAAAAAGTATACACTGTTGCTATAAAATAGGTTCTGATCAATGTTCGGACTGCGGTTCACGGTGTTTTTTGTCCATGTGGACTTTACTCTAAATAAGAGAGAATTCAAAGATGCCATTCATTTGAGATATGATGGCAACTAAGCAACACCCCGTCTACTTGTGCGTGTGGAGATGTTTTCGATGTAGACCACACCATAGTGTGGAGAGGAAGAGGCTTCCTCATTCAAAGACATAACGAGTTACGTGATTTGGAAGCCGAAATGCTAGAAGATGATGATGCAATGAAGTCCAAATTGAGCCTGTACTTCAGGAGATAAACGGAGAAGTGCTGACACCTGGTACGAAGAGAGCAGCGGATTCCCGGCTCAACATTCACGCTCGTGGTTTTTTGGAGCGGCAAGACTCTGCCTTTTTCGACGTTAGGGTTTGTTACCCGAATGCAGTGTCTTATAAAGGCCTCATCACAAAACAAATCTACCCCCAGCATAAGAGTGAGAGGAAAAGAATGTGGGCCAGCAGGGTGCTAGAAGTCGAACAAGGCTCTTTCACTCCACTGGTATTTACTACCACCAGGGCCGAGTTGTTCAAAGCTGGGTTAAGATAACCCAGGTTTAGTGCGAGATTTGAATTCAGATTTGAAAGCTTAAAAAGCATTTCAGTTTTACTTCTTTTTGTCTACAAGTTGATGATTGGAAGCTCTAAAAAAAACATAGAAAATTATCAGAGAAAATGCTTTCAAACACAATAAAAAGAAACCCGGGTTAAATTGAACCCCGGGTTAAGCGCTAATCGGCTTTCGAACGACTGGGCCCAGAAGAATGGCAGGTGAATGCAAGAGGTATCACAGTAGACTGGCTAAACTCTTATCAGCCAAGAAAGGAGAGGATTATAGTAATACAATGTCATGGATTCGCCTTCCTGAGGCTTGGACTGTTGTGCTTGAGAGGCTCATGTTGTACGCGCTGAATATTACAGACTATTAACGACTTTGAAATTGATCTCAAGGAACTAGCGAGATTTTTTTTTTTCTGACTTTTGATATTTTTCACATTTAAAATTAGTATTTTTTTTCTCAATTTATTCTTCTCCTTTGTTAATTTTATGTTAATTAACAATTAGTCCAAGAAACGTTCGGAGGCTTTAAAGAATACATTTATAAGAAGACTCAGTTTATTTTAAATGTAACTCCGTTTGTAGATTATTTATATTTTCTGTCTTATTCTCCTTCATTTACTAGTTTTTTCTCCATTTCATATAGCTTTCCTCTTATCGAATTTGTAAGAGGGTGTGAATGGGGTTAACCGACTAGCGACAAAGGGCGAAAAATATTACTGACTACCGACAAAACGAGTAAAAAATTACCGACTACCGACATGAAAAATATTAACCGACTACCGACTTAGGCTGACATTATCAATATTTGTTTGCAGAAAAAAAGGGCATTTTGCATTTTTTTCCTAGCCGTTAGGAAGTAACCTCTTTAAATTTATGACTCATTAGATGGTCTAACAGAAAGAATTTCCTCTTTTGTTGATACGGGTACATTACTACAACTACTGTCATAATCACAGAAACCACACCTTAAAGATGCTACCGACTTTATAAATTTTAACAGTGCTCACATGGTGGGTGGCTCCTCCTAAAATGTTCTGCAATTGGTATAGGATTTAATGGAGCCGAAACCAATTGTGGAATTGCACGCATTTTAGGCATCCTGCTGATGAGCAGTTGCGACACGTACATATACATTTTTTAGCAGCTAAGATAATTTGCAGTCTGTCTACTTTGAATTGAAAAGACAAAGGTGAAAAAACTGAGCGTTTCTTGTTTCGGTCCGAAAAATGCTTAGAATAATCCTCAAAGAAAATTCTTTCCAGCTTAATGAAAAGCACAATATATAGTAAAAAACCACGGTACCGCGATGAGCACATACAGCAGTGTTCTTTCCAACATTTTCATGGCCGCATACATTGAAACACAAAGTTAAGCAAAACGGTCTTTAAACCAACTGTTTGAAAAAGCTATATAGATGATACTTTTTCCCTATGGGACATAGGTAAACCAGACATGGTAGATTTCTTCAAATTCACGGATCAAGTAAACTTACTTCACCCTGCCGCTCTACTGGCAATAAAATTAACGGCCGAATTACGTGACACTGAGACAATCTTTTTAGACTCGGTTGTATACCAAGGCACAACATTCAACGAAAAATGAGAAAAAGCTATCATTGACGTAAAGACGCATTTTAAACGGAAACCTTCCAGTATATACATTTTCACCTCTTACCACCCACCAATTGTTAGAATGGATTTGACAAACAGGAAGCCTTGAGAATCCTACGAACAAACTCCTCGGAGGAAGTATTTCAGATTTCAAAAAGCGGTTGATGGACAGAGGCTGGCCACACAATTTTGAAATAAAAATTGCTATTAGAAGTAAAACTCACAGAAGGAAAGCAGCGCTCCTGAAACAAAACAACAAGGAAGAAAAAGAAGTATTGTCTTTCGTAACACAATACAAGCCCTTCATTGTCTATTATGAAAGAAGCTTTAATGAAAAAGTGTAATCTAATACAAAACCAAACACTACCTTGCCAAATTAACCCTCGGACGTACACACAAAATCATACCCCCCACCATGGTACAAGAGGAGGGTAGATGGAGCCCCTCCCCAGAGTTTTTGATTTTGCCTTCACTGAAAAGCCTTTGATCTTTTTAACAAGATGAGGTATATTTTATGAATGGTGGCACTGCTGGAGGCCTGTTACGTCACCAACAATGGTCGCCATCTTTGCCGCCATATTGATTTTACCAAGAATTAGAAATCAGGTTAAAACAGCGAGAAATGGTAATTGCTTGACATGAATAATAACACATAAATAAGCACTTTGCATGATTTTGGCTGCAAGATTTTTCTTTTATTGTTGAAAAAAGTTGAAAAAGAGACATACATTCTTACTCAAAATGGCTTGACCACCTGCTACTTATTACGTCATACCTCGTAACCATAGAAACTGATCATCACTGAACTTGTCTCAAAATGCGTGCGAGGGATAAGTAAACATCTACTGAAAACGACCGGTGCTGATGTTTTATCCTCTTGGAAAAATCCCAGAAAAACCTAAAGGGGGGGGGGGTGGTATCCACCCCCCACCCCTTGTACGTCCGAGGGTTAAAGTGTTATTTCTTTGAGGAAGGAAAATTATGGCAAAGGACATGCTTGTTAGAGCCAAAACATTAAAGGTATAGATGTGCAGCCTGTCACCCCTTGCAGTTTTTCACTAAGAATTTTTGAAGCCAGTATCTAAAAGGCTGGAGTCCATTAATTAATTAATTGCTTTTTACTGTACCCTGTAATCGACAGGGAAACCAAGTTCGCATTTACAATAAAAGGTTTGGTGATTTTATCAGTACTCATGATATTCATTTGGCAAACAATGGTGAAATATACGATCATTTTGCATAAACAAACAAGAGTTAATGAAGTTCAATCAAATGTTGCATTCTTACAAGTTTTACTCTTTCCTTAGGGATCAAAGTCTTGAAACTGGGTGAAATACATAAACATATTAATAATTAACAAGCGTTTTTACTTATCAACTGAGATTTTCCGACAACCGACAAAAATCAAAAAGTTTAACCGACCACCGACAAAGTAACTGAATTTTAACCGACAACCGGCAAGTGGATCCCCCATTCAGACCCTCTTGTAACATCAGGTATGACTTTTTATCTGGTACAGTCGGACCCCGCTTTACGGACAACTAGTTATTACGGACAGTTTTCCTTGTCCCTGGGGAATGTAAGCCCTCATATTTTCTCTAAATTCAACCCGCTTAATACGGACACCCCGTTAATACGAACACTTTCTATGGCCCCCTTGGTGTCGGTATTAACGGGGTTTGACTGTAATCAATCAATAAATTATAAAAATTTATAATAATAGTAATAATAATAATAATAATAATAATAATAATATTAGTAATGATAATAATTGAAACTTATATAGTTGAATTAATTCAAGTGTCCGTGGTCATTGTAATTGCAAAGGAAGATTTTTTCCCGCCGTCTAACCCACCTGCTAGTACTGCATAGGTCACGTTCACAGGATCATGCTGGTTAGCGTACAACTCCTTCAGACAAATGCGGAATTCGCCAGTCTTAATGTGCTGCAAAATAAATAATATCCTATTTATGACATGTATATTCGCTTCAAACGCAAAACTCTTTCTCAGCACAAAACGAATCGAGAGTTCTCATTTTCAGCGAGGGATCTTATCCAGGGCACGGTTCCCATGTCATTTTCTATGGGAAAAAAACGCCTGTGAAGAACAGGGCGAAACAACATCAACAAAAATAAACGCTACGAAGTATTGCTAGAATAAAAACGAAAAACAAATTTAGCAAAAATTAAGACTTACGAGGAAAAAATTAGGGAAGTTCCTCTAGAAGCCTGCAAATATCGCAAAAATCGCAAAAAGTCAGAAGAACTTTTATTCAGCAGCAACAACAAAAACAAAACACGCTAACAAATTACGCAATATAGCAATTTGCGCAAAAGTTCAGACTTTTAAAGGATAACAAAAAAATATTCTTGTTGTTTTTGCGATTTTTTGCAAAATTTGCGGACTTCTTGAGGCTGCTCCTTTGTCTTTTTTCTTTCCACGTCTAGAATTTTATTAAATTTGCTATTCTTGCTATTCTTGCGATATTTTAAATAACCAAAAAAAATATTGCTACCTTTGCGATTTTTGCAAAATTTGACAAACTTCTTGAGGCCCTTCTTGGCTTTTGTCTTTCTAAATTTGATATATTTTTGTAATATTTGTTGCTCAGTCTTTTTGTATAACAAAGAGACTCCTCCCTCATAAGAATATACATAGAGCAACATGGGTACTCGCCAAATAGGATAACCAGGAATCAGATAGATCATGCACTCATTAATAAAAGATTTAGGAATTCAGTGAAAGACACTAGTGTTTACAGGTCTGCGGACATCGGAAATGAAAACATCTTGAAGACATTTAGCAGAGCCCTGAAGAACAGATACCAGGTACTTGAGGATGAAGGGCTAACGATAGAGGAAGACGAAGAAATAGAGCGTGACTTTCAAGTGATGGAGAGGGCGTACACTGAGGTTGCAGAAAGAGTTTACCATTTACCAGTGACGCATCATGGAAACTTGTAGAGCAAAGGAAGGAAATCAATAAATAGATTCTCAGTACACGATCAGAAAGGGCCAAGAGACAACTAAGGGCGAAGTATACAGAAAAGGACAGAGAAGTTAAGAGGAGTATAAAAGTGGATAAAAGAAAGTGGATGGAGAACATTGCAGATGGGCAGAAGAAGCTGCAAGGAGCCAACACATAAGACACTATATGAGCTTACAATGATGTTATGCAATGAAAGATCGAGACAGAGCACAACGGTTCTAGACAAGAATGAAACTCATCAGTAAAAACAGTGAAGTAAAGGCAAGATGGACTTAACACTTTAAGGAGGTGCTTAATAGAGAAGCACCAGCAAACCCAATAACTGATGATCGGGAGGATGACGTCCATGACAAAGTAAAAGAGATAGCAGTAAACATCCTTATTATAAAATGGGAAACCACCGGGAATGACTCCATAACAGCAGAGTTACTGAAAGCAGACATAGAGTTTTCATCAGAGAAAATATATCAACTGATGAAGAAAATATGGCAGTATGAGAAGATCGCGAAGAGTTGGCGGCGAGGGCTAATCATCAAACTAGCAAAGAAAGGAAACACCAAACACTGCAAGAATTGGAGAGGCATAACCTTACTCTCTGTTGTGGGAACGATACTATTCAGGATTATTATCGATAAGGATAAGAAGTGAAGTCGATGACACGTTATATAAGGAAAGAACAGGAAGGATATATAAAAGGCAGGGGGACGACAGAACAGGTATTTGTACTGCGGAACATCATTGAGCAGGTTAATGTGTGGCAAGCAACACTATCTGAACTGACGAATTTGTGAGAGATCATGTGGTCTCACAAAACTTCTTTTCACAATTCTTTACTCTCATATCGACAAATTGTATTATTTACAAAATGTTTTTAGTGATAAAGATACAAATGTGACTACTGTACTCCCCGCCCCTCCACTACGTATTAAGTAAAGGTCAAGCTGACAAGATTTCGCAGGATTGTTCGGTCAAGGAATTTAATTAAGGGCATCAATTAAATTGGATTTCAGAAGCCAAGAAAATTCTCTCAAAGATAGCAAAACGATTCATTTTTCAGATAACGTCTTTATAAATTCATACACGTTACACGTTACACGTTACACGTTACACGTTACACGTCATCACTACCAGTTTGTTTGCACTGCACACCATTCATTTCGTAGCAAAGGCGACATTGGTTTTGAGTTCTTTCGCCTAGAGGCCTGCCATAAGGTCGCTTTCTTGCTAGCACGAAATTACTGAAACTCTTGAAATTTTTTGGAGGGAGCGGGAGAAACTACTTTTGGAAACACAATGTGTTAGATTTAAATAACAATGGTTGATAAACTGAAAGTTCTACGAGGAATAAGCCTTGGGTTAAGTTGGTACATGTACATTGTTTTAAAGGGCTTAACTTCCTAAGGGTATTTCAGATCTGACTTATTTATTTGTTTACTTATTTTTTGGCATTCTGAACTCGTAAATATAACATACAACAACTACATCTTTCCATACCTCAATCCATGCGGTAACAGACATGTGTGTTGGTTTCAGATTGCTGCCCTCGGAGTTGTGACTGGCTGCTATCATTATTATGGGTTCTTTGTCGTAACTTCTTGCAAACTGCAAATCCTAAGGATAGAAAACGATGGCTGCTAATATGATACTGGAAAGTAAATTAAAATTATTATTTTCCTTTGATGCTTGGTGATAGGTGTCGAAAACTAGTCTTGTGAAGTATATTGAAAATTGATTTTTAGATCTGTCTCATCTTTCAAGTTTCGTTTTTGTTTCATAAAGTGGGTCGAAGTTAGTCTTGATTTGTCCACATACGTGTTTTCCTGTTTTGATTACTTGCTTTTACATGTACTTGAATTTTTGCTTAGCTCGCTAGGTGGTCGTGTTTGTGATGTTAGAGCTGACCTTAGTTCATTAGTCTCGTTGAAGTTCCTGTTTGGGTGTGTTAACCAGCATTTTAGTTTTTCATTAGTTTGTAGCTTCTTGCCGATCGCAACCATGTCGGTTCAGTAATAACCCACACCGAGTTTACCTTGATTTTATTCCCACGGTCAGCTAACCCAAACATGCCCAGCTTTGGCTATAAAAACCGCTACTATACCACGGCTTAAACTTAGTTAGGTCAGAGTAAGGATTGAGTAGAGAAGCAGAGTAAGAAGATTAAGATTAAGATTGTTCGCAGAAGTCAAAGAAGAATAAAGAACAAGATGTAAATAAGATCCCTGGTACCTCATCGTGTAGCGAACTAGTTGCTCAATCACACCCCCACGCTAGCTAGGATTTTTCTCGAGGAATGGCCTGCAAGCAGGGTCAAGTGTGCGAGTTCGAGGGAAATTTTGGCGGCATAGCCGCCAGCGCAAAGTTTTCCCCCGCACTCGCACAAGCCGGAGCCTCCTTCCAGGCTAAAAGGAGTACTGTTGTGAAGGTGGTGATAGTAATAGAAAACACCGCTTTACAACTTAGTATGTGAAACATGGAAAACCTGTTGCATAGCTTTTTTATCTGTTAAATTGCTGAGGAACATAAAACATGCCAACGGATTATCGTAAAATTACAGAACGAGCTCGCTTCCTACCTTACAAAATGCACCATTGTAGTTTGTAGAAACAGGGTTGTTGTTTGGAAAATTCACTTGTTTGCTCTCGGCAAAAAGGGGCCGGTGGATTGTTTCAAAGACCATCCAATTCTGAAAAAGTATTGCAACATAGCTGCATAAACACTTCCAATTAGCAGGAAAAAGTGTATCTGCTTTTTTAACCAATTTGTCAAAACTGAACAGGTCCAAAAATTTGGATTTGGTAAAAAAGGCGTTTTTTCTTCCGCTACAGAGTGGCCGTTTCCAGGACTCTGAACACTTAGTTGTCTTTAATGGCAGTCATTCAAGAGCTAAAGCGTTCCTGGCTGGAATATTGAAGATTTGATTAGCAACCACTTGCTGTGAAATGGAGTCTAAAATTTCAAACACAGTGCTGCGATATTCTTATAGTGGCTGCTCTTTTTCTCAGGAGAATATGAAAATAAGACTTTGGAATTTTTTATCAGCCCCAGCTGATTGAATATCTTCTTCCTTAATGTCCGCTTCTCTTTAACACAAGGTTCATTATAGCCTTGATTTCTGTGCTTTTTTCTTTAGTGTTCATAACGTATATCTCTTTAAAAAAATTGTAAAATTACCACAAAGATATCTTCATGCAGACCATCATAGTTCTGCAGCTCTCGAAGACAAATGTAAAAGGAGGAACTGGTTGCGTTCTCCACCCACAAACTGGCAGCGTTGTGCTTAAAGGCTGCACTTATATGTTGCGCTGTAACCAGGATCCTTGGGGCAGTAGCAAACTTTCCCTATAAAGCAATCGTTAATGAAAATCAAGAATGGTGAGTTGTATCTCCAGACTAATTAATATTGTTAACTTTTAAACAACATATCCAAAACAAAGAATAAAAAAATCAGAATGAAAGAATGAAACACGATCTGCATGTACCTAGTACACGACTTTTTTCGATTTGTACATGGCCTTTTCATATGGTGGTTAAGTGTCTGGCCCCCACGAGTTTGGCCTTCGGTTGTACAAGGCTGGTTTTGTCCGCTTCGTTTCATCGTTTCAGTTTCTGTTAGTTTATGCTTTATACCTATCTAACATTTGCTAAGTATACAAAATTTAGTGCATGAATGAATGCTTGTTTTCGCACTTTTAAGGGGTTTAGCCTGCAAATAAAAAAAACCTTAAACATACTTTGTGCAATGGAGTTTAATCTGAAAAAAGCATTTTTAGATCGAAATTATTTGAAGGATAAGGCATTTGACCGTGGTTCACATTGATAGGATATCACGGATTTTTGTTGATTTAGTTTTTGCTTATGCAAAACAACTTTTGTGGTTTTTAAGGATAATGCAAAATATCTGAATAACTTGATTTCGTTACAATCGGGCACCTTCCTAACACATTAGAAACCCACTTTGGCGGCAGTTGAAAAAATAACGCAATTTCCTACTTCAGCATCGAAATTGCGAGACTTACTGCCAACACCGTAAGATTCGTAATCATAGATATTCCTAATGGGAGGGTGGCATGACCTCTCGCCACCTCTAGGTCCCAAAAAACAACTACCTTAAGTGCAATTCCAGAAAATGGAAACAAAATAGATAATTGCCTGGGGAAGGTTAACTTCTTCACACTGTGATCCAGTCCACCACTGTGAAATGCGTGATTTTCCCGCCACACCACCATCAGGTGCTCCTTGGTATGCCATCCAGTCCACTGTGGCAAACTCTTGGATAGAGCGGTCATTCCTTCCTGCCGCTGTCACGCAAACCTAAAGATGCAATTCAACACATTTTTGGTTAATTGAGATTTGTACAGGTAATAGCATGATTTGTAGTGATATTTGGCATAGATACCACGAATGATATTTCAAAATTGTTATACGTAATTTCACGAGCCGTTAGGCGAGTGAAATTTGAGACAATTTTGAAATATCACGAGTGGGATTTATGCCAAATATCACGTACAAATCATGCTATTATTTGTTTATACTAGTACCCACAAAAGGTTTGTAATTTTCACATGTAGGTATTTCAAATTAAGCTGAAATACCACTGCTCTAAGTCAATCAAATTACAGAAATTTCTGATGTAGTAGTATAATACCTCGTAATTGCAGGTTTTTAATTACTGATGAATCGAGAATACAAACATTTTGCTCTTCGGGCTTCCTCGGTATACTTTTTTAATCACTGGATAACATTTCCAAACGCCAAGGGCTACAAATACACAGGGCAAAAATCTGATACCAAGTTATGTATGTTACGTATAATGTTAATTTTTGAGAATAAACAAGACATGCAGAATAAGCAAAATTAAAATGATAAAAGTGGTACAAGTTATGAAATTACCGAAGCACAACAGGAATTAAAGAACAGTAATTAAACAGTAATTACGTCTGACTCAGCAATTAAAGAACAATTTTTTTACAAATCGTCAATAAAAAGGATAAGACAAATTTATAAAAAGATACAAGACGAGTATGCGAATTTTTGAATCCTAGTAACTATTATCACTTGGTAGACCGCTGTCCTTTAGGATAAACTAAAACATTATTTTCAATATTCACCTCAAATTTTTTGTAGTTAACAGTGTGTACCCATGAAACTGTGGCGTCATGTATAAAATTTTTCCTGCTTATGTTCCAGTGATTGGTCGTTATTTGCACGTGTACCTCTTTGTCTGGATAGAAGGAGAATGGCGGAAATTCCACCACTTTACAGGCCGTCTCAGCAGATTTTACATGTCTTACGAGTGAAACCCGCCCGGTCTGAGTAGGAAAACCTAAGTGGAGGCAAGAGGAAGTGTACAAATACAAAAAAAGTTAGAACAAAGAAGGATAGGGGAACAAGTAGTTTTGCTTCAATGTCAGATATAAATGCCCTATAAAAGTGATACCTCCAATTGGTAAGTACGCATTTGGCAAATTAGGCAAACAAACTAACAAACCAAAACAAAGTGTTATCAAGAGCTAAAAACGTGGTCATGGACCCATCTTACAACTCATCTATAGGGATGGTGTGTGTGTGTGTGTTTGTGGGGTGGGCGAGAGCGAGAAGAGGAACTTGTGCTAAAAAGGCGGAAACAAAAGCAATTAATCCTTACTCAGGCCTAGTAGATCGTCTCACGCTTTGTAGTTGGCAACAAAGAAGTAAGGTAAAAAAAGGCTTAGAATTTTACCTGTACAGCTGCCAGGATGATAAAGCGTGTGGTTACTTTTGTGTTTGCAAATGTCCAGTAGAAAAAAGCACTTGTTCTTGAATGTTGTCGAATTAGATGAACATACGGGCTCTTCGTACGACGGGCAGTTGTCATCACACACACAACGAGCATCAAATGCAGAGAAAGCTTTGCAGATGGCATGGTACTCGCAAGTAACATTTGTGCACGGGTCAATATCTTTGAGGAAAAATACAAAATCACTTCTTACGACAGGAATTTAACCAATTTTTTCCTAAACTCCTATCAGAAATCTTACTGAAGCATGAAGCGCTTAAAATAATACATTTTTCGGAAAAAATATTACTCCATTCGGCATGCGGGCCTAGACTTAAGTCAGAAGAATTATAGAAGACAATACATTTTTAGGACCTTCACTACGAGTGTATATGTCCAAAAACGTATCTTTCTTGTTTGTCTTTTCTTTCTTCGATTTTGAAACTGCTTCTGATCTTAACTAAAGTTTCTGATTTTGGATGCAATGGAGACAACAAATTACCTCCCACAATTGCATAGTCTACTGTAACTGGATCGTGAGACTTGCTTATTCCCTGGCTGTCCTTGATGCACACTTTGAAAGACAAACGAGTGATTTCCTAGAAGACAACAAATTCATTCAGTTATAACTGCTACAAATTTAACAAGAAATACTGTTCAGTTCGATCAATTTACTACAACTCCAGTCAAACTTAAGTTACAAAAAGTTTGTAGAATTCCTAAACAATGAACTAAATATTAAATTTATAACTTAGTATCTCGTTGTTCAAAAATTTCCTTAGTCTATCCAAGTAAAATGAAAAAAGAAGTGGAGCTTTCTGCGTCTTAACTAGGTTCCTAGTTCCTAGATTTTTAAGGCGTGGGTATTTCTTTTGTGGTGTAAGAAATACAAACGCAAGAAAAGTATGTGCAGAAAAAAAAACTTTTTACACTTATCTAAGTCAATTTTTTTTCGACAAACTCAGTTTTACGGAAATTGAATGAAGTTCTTTTATTCGCCACTCTTTTTCTAGCCCACATTTGAAGTAATAATAATAATAATAATAATAATAATAATAATAATAATAATGATAATAATAATAATAAGTTTCTCGTTACAAAATCGTAGTTCAAACGACAGTTACTGTAATGACTGAGGAATTTGATTAAGTTAAATATAAAAGCGGTGCTGCCACTTCGAGCGCTTAATTCATTTTTACTCAGTTACTTGGAGTGTGGAGGCAATTGAAAAAAGAACTCTAAAATCAGTTTCAATAAATAAGGAAAGATAAATGGCTGTATCTGGTCTGGAAAATTACTTACCTCGATCCAAACATTTAAAGCATTGCTAAGACGACCATCAGCCTTCATCCACAGAGCATTGGTAACGTTGTCATGTCTGGCAGACGTGAGGACACTAGGAGGCTCGTAAAATGGATTTTCGAATTTATACTCCTGAAAAAAAAAATTACACAAAAAATGCATTGATAAAGCCTTATTAAAAGCTAATCACCTTATTATTCCGACCTTGGTTTAAGAAAAAGTATTGTAATTCAAAGACCTTTCTGTAATTTTCTTGTTTAACATTTAAGAAACGCATCAGTTCATGTACACTGCCTGCCTCCAATAGCTTTTGCTAAATGTAGGTAGTGTGTATGTGTTATGTGTTTCACTGCTGTCAATAACGTTTTTGTTTGTTGTTGTTGTTATGACAGTTCCTATTTAACTTGCTTATAATAATGCGTAAAAGAGAGGTTTTTTTTTCTCTTATTCCAAATAGAACAAAGTTCTGCAAGTTTTTAAAATAAATAAATAAATAAATAAATAAAAGAGATTATAGTGCAACATCAAGGTTATAAAGACTGCTAGTGGATGCACTTTTGTACAATTCAAATACAGGTGTACAATAGAAATCAAGATCAATGATACGATAAACCCTTTTTTGTCACTGATAACCGTACATTCATTAGCTCCCTTGAACTGTACTAAACTAAACAGAGGCTCATACATGTAGAAGACCGTTGGTCTTTCCAACCTGACAAAAAGCATAGTTGTTTTCTTTCTTTGGAGCACCAAGTCCAGAAAAATGAAGCTTTCCTCTTTCAGTAATATTCCAAAACGCCGGGAGCACATCATAAGCCAGCCAGTTCTTTAAAAAAAGAGAGAATATACACAAATTTATTTGCAGATTTGCGGACGATTATTATCATTATTCGTCGTCCTGAGATGGGGAGCTCCGACAGACAGAAGTGCTGCAAAAAGCATTGGGAACAGGTATATCTAACCTAAATAAACTAGCACTTAAGACGTTAACTGAATCGACTTTCTTGTTTTCACTGTTGTTTTTGATATATTAATTTTTGTAATACAAGTTGGAGAAGAAGCACGATATAGAATTTACTGTACATAGAAGTGTAGTGTGTGATGTCACATGTACTGGAACGCACCCTTTAGAAACCCCAAGATGGACTTCTTTGCCACACAAACCCTGCGTGGTAATTTCGTGAATAGAGCAATAAAGACTAGTCACCTCAGACTTATCTAATTTCAACTTACCACTTTGAGACCTGAATGGATGCCGTCAAAGCTCATAAACTCCCTCAAGCAAACCACAAAACCATCCTTTTTGACGTCTTCTAGCCAAATGTTCATGGAGTCAAATGGTCGGTCGGAGTGTTTATGTAGAACAGTCACAAACACTTGGGGTCTCGTCTAAGTAAGACAGAGTATAACAAAAGAACAATTATCTATGACACAGAAAAAAAAAAAGAAGAACGAAAATGTACGGCCTGGGATTCTACATAGCCCTGATGTGACATTTTCAAAGTTCCTTCTAAGTGACTAATTATGACAGTAAAGCATGGGACTTCCGCTTTCTCGATTCTACACGTAGCTTTAGGCTTAAGGCCCCTTCTTCCATGCCTGATCGATTTTGTCCAAGTAAGGATGTATTGTTTGTCACCTGTAAGTATGTTAAAATGACTGACTGAATCCACCTACTTTACCATCTCACCTTATTCTGAATACTAAGCGATATCTTCTTGCACTGGGTTCTTGAGGTGAATTCGTCAAATTCAACGATTCCTGAATCAAGACCTTGGTGCGAACCTTGAAAGGCAAGCCAGTTGATCACAGACGCGCCTCTAGAACCACTTCCTGCTTCACGAACGCAGGCATCAAAACCAGATGTGGACACTGACTTCACCCAAACAGACGCTGGATCGTGGATTTTGACATGTTCGCTTCCGTGGCTAAGCGTTGCAAACACCTTTACATCTCCAGAACCCTGGAACTGAGTATTGAAAGAAACGGTCTGGCAGCCATGGTTGTTTTGGGATGTGTCGGAAATATTCACCTTCCCAGTTTGAAAGACATACGCTTGAATACCATACATGTAAAAAAAGTTTAAAGTATTTTAAAGTTAAATATTATTTAATTGTATGTATGCCCTGTCATCTGTATGCGTTCCCTTTCATCGACCTTGTATACAGTCATTGCACAGACAAATAAACCTAATTGTAACCACTCCATATTGACTCCAAGGGATTGCTTCATGCCCCAGTTCATAAATGAAATGAAATGCCTTGGACCTGAACATAAACCTTTACCAAGAAATCATTCGTATTTAAGAACGGATACACACATAAAGTTAAGACATTTTCACTATCATCTACTTTCTTAAATTTGTGGGTTCGCGGTCATTTCTGACAGTTCAAAAAGGTACAACCTCCCTGAACATTTTCTAAATGCAACGTGAATAAATAATCAAGTTGTTTTACAAAATGTTTCTTCTCTTGCAGAAACTGTAAGAAATCAGTAGTCAAGATCTCATTCAATAGCTTAGACACTTACATGTACCTGTAGTGAGCTGCAAAAATAACACCTGAAAAGCAAAGTAACCGAAGACTTCATTCGCAAACATTGTCTTCACTCTTGACTGTGCTTTACTTGCTGTATCTTACCTCTCCGGCAAATACTTGGTGGGTGTGTTTTGCAGCTGTATTTAAAGTCGACTGGTTTTGGAATGAGGAAGTTTTTCTATATTTGAAACCTCTTTTCATAACGGGGTTGAAAATAAGTTAATCAGATTCAAATCAGACGTTTCAGCGCTAAACAGTGAGATTAGCTCCTTACAATGTTATTTTATGATTTAGCAGGAGATAATAACAATTGAATTAAAAGAGAGTGTTCCCCGTTGTAAGACCACCGCACTATTTACCACATCAAGCTTCTCAGTAAAGGAAACAATCTAACACGACTTATTTACAATTCTTACCGCATTGCACAAGTACAAGTCTAACAAGGATTCCAATACATCTTCTTTAAAATAATACAAGGAACGTGTACTCTTCCTAACCAATGTCACAAATTTTTCAACTTGGTACAAAATTGCTGATCAAAATTGCTGATCTGCAAAAAAAAGGGTAATTGAAAACAAAAATAACAAATAAATAAAATCATAATATGCAAGACTAGTTTCTTTCTTTCTTTCTTTTTTCTTTCAGGCACACAAACCTTTAAAATCAGATTTCGAGAAAATATGATCCTCCCTTGGAACAACACATTTCCGCGCTCAAGCGAGGTTAAAGGCCAGTCCAACCTCTTTAAACATTCAAACAGCTTCTGTGCTTAACGCAAATCTCCCTCACGAAACAATTGGTCCACAGTGTCTTTAGGGACCCTATACCTTACCGACTAGTTTTGATTTAAATTATTATACCTGCCTGCTCACGATACGATAAAATTTTAAGTATCAAGTTTTGTCTAGCGAAGTTCAAGAACAGTAAACTGACGTCACATTGTTACTATATATTGTGTTGGAATTATATAACGGTGTATGACAACTTCTTGTGATCAAAGCTGGCGCCGCGTAATCAGGAGTTAAATAAAGACAGAAAAAAAAAACAAGAGAAAAAAGAAAGTAAAAGGGAAAAAAGAAAAAAAAAGAAAAAGAAAAGAAAGAAAACGCACGGAAAACGTCCTCTAAAAATCGTTTATTGTTCAGTAACACCTAAACCCATTTAAATAATCGAGAGGACAGTTTTCGTGAAACGATGATCTTCTCGGGTTCTATGCACCTGCATACATGTATTTCCGCACTAAAGCGAGGTTAAGGGCCAGTCCGGCCTCTTAAAACTTACAATAAAGTTCTATCTTCCGAAAGAAAACAATCAGTCTCAGCTACAGTTTCATTTTTTGAACGTAGATCACACTATAAATTGGTGCTACTGAACAGTGCACTTTCACTTTTTAGGGAAAGTGCTTAGGTTTGTTTTAAATTACAACACTTGCCGGGTGGTCACAATACGTAAAATTGTTAGCACTTTTTTGACTAGGTTCATTACGACTTCAAAACTGACGTCACGTTGGTATTATTTGAGTTACATGTAAAAATAATGGTGCATAACGACAACTTCTTGTTAAGAAAATAGACGCTGCGTAACAAAAATTCAACATCACAATAACAGATAAAATGTGGATCACTTCGTCTAACAATCATTTTAATTTGTTTCAGATTATTTAAACCCTTAAGATAATCCAGAAGTGTCGTGAAAAATAAAAATCTTCTATAGACATCGGCATTTCTTTGCTCAAACGAGGTCAAGAGAGAGTCACCTCTAAAAATCTCAATACAGCTTCTCGATAAGCTTCACGCAAATCTTCCGAGAGAAACTGACTATCTGTCTCAGCAACAGTTTGTAGACAACCCATAAATTGCTGCCAATGAATGTCATTTTTTAGGGAACTGGTACAGTTTTAATTACAAATGCTAAACCTGCCGGGAGTTTCAAATACGTAAAATTGAAAGTTACGTCTAAAAAGGTTTAAGAAAGGTATAAGTTGACGTCAGGTTTGTTTTTAGAATTTCATGTAAACATCACGGTGCACGACAACTTCTTGCTAAGAAAATAGACACACCTTTAAACCAGGATTCAGAAGAGAACTTTCTCTCAGCATCCCGTTTTTGTTTAGGCACATTAAATCCCCTTTACAACATCGAGCACAGATTTCGTGAAAAGTTAATTTTCTCTTGGCAGCTGCATATTTCCACGCTAAAGCGAGGTTAAGGAGCGGTCTCCACTTAAAACTCCCATTACAGCTTATGTGCTTGCATGTATGCAAACCTTACAAAAACAAGAAGAAAAATCAGTCCCAGATAAAGTGTTGTTTTACTAAATGCGCATTCCCTATAAATTGATTCTTCTTAACAATCTGAACGTACCGCCACTTTTTAGTGAAAGTATTTCTCCACTATCTTTTATTTAAATAACTTTACTTGCGGAGCTAACAATACTTAAAATTCCTTCCTCTACGATTTATCTACCAAGGCTCAAGGACCTCAAACTGACGTCACAGCGCTATTCGAGTTACATGCTAATATATGGCGCACGACTACTGTTTGTTAAGAAAATGGACACACCGTAACCAGGATTCAAAAGTAAATCAAAGCTTGGAAACTTTCTTCGAGTTATCTTTTTGTTTAGGTGCATTAGAACCCCTTTACATAATCGAGGGCACATTATGAAAGATAAGATGACCTTCTCTTGGTATTTGCAGGAGCCCATAATGTCTGTGCATATTTTCGCGCTGAAGCGAGTTTAAGGACCATTCACCTCTTAAGCTTTCTACGCAAATCCTCCTGAAGAAAATAATCGGTCTCCAATGTTTTTTTTTCTTAGTGCTTTGCTATTTAGTTTTTCGCTTAAGTTTTCATGTTTTGTTTATCAGTCCTTGGGGTAGGGATTTTGCTTGGGGACTTGTATGTGAGCCAACTGATTTCTTAAATTTATCATGTTATGGTAACAGACTGAGAGTGAAATACATTCATCTTTGTAGTTGGCTTTCACTTAAACACATGCTATGGCAACAGACTGAGAGTGAAGTACATTAAAAAACACAAAAATAGAATTGGGTAAAACACAAAAATAGAATTGGGTAAAACCAGACTATTGTCCTCAAACCAACTTTCAGCTGCAGTCACACAAGAGTAAAGAATGTGGTTGTATTCTCTTGCATCTTCAAATTCGATTAAAAAAAACTTAAAAGTCATTGTTATTGATAACCTGTTACACAGGAGGTAATGTAAACCCCACCTCCACCAACCCAAGAAAAGGTGGGTATTTCAGGGCTTCTGATATTTCGCGCGGTCGCGGAGCCGCGAAATTCAGGTAAATCCGCGAAATCTCGTGAAATTCACAAAAACACGAAAAATACCGCGAAATTCGGTAGAAATCTTATCAAATACATGTCTGTACAACATATTTGAAACTTATTTCAGCTATAGGGGCTATTTACTTGCCGTAAACTTGCAAATTTATCTTGGAATTCGTCACTGCAAACAACGTCCCAAAACTACCAGGCGCAAGTATGTTGCGAAAAACTGGGCACTAGCCATGATGTTAAAGGCCTTGCCATTGGTGCATTTCGGGAGCGTATTGTTGAAAGAGCAAATGATGACCTCTGTTAGAAAAACGTTAAAAATGCTGGTCTGATCAGCCCAAAACTGATCGATTTCTAGCGAAATTTGCCATGAAAATAACCACAAAATCGGCCCTTTTTCAACGATTGCTTTTTGTTGAGGTTTGCCCCAAAAACTCCCGCGAAATTCCCGCTAAATCGGCCGATTTTTCCGCGAATTTGTCTCCAAAACTCCTGCGAAATTTGACTTTTTCTTCCCCGACCTATCGGAAGCCCTGGTATTTGTTAGAAGTTTCACCCCAAATATAGAAAAATACTGCTGCCATCACTTCCTGAGATTATTTTATGAAACGGCTTTTTAAAAAAACAAAAAGAAAATTAGAGGCTTTAGAGGGTTTTTCTGTCACGGACATACCAAAATTTTAGGCCTATAATGCACAAGGGAAAAGTTTTATGACAGTTAAAAATTTTAGAAACGTACAATATGTACAAGGATTTGTATGGAAAAACACTCCACTGTGACTGAGGAGCAACAGTTGTCCCCATGTCCCCATACAGGCAAATCCTTCTAACTTTCACTGACTGCCGCAGTCACTACATACTTTTGAAACACACAGCTGAAGCTTTACAGGGCACCTAATTTTAATATGCTCTTCACGTCCTGCTAAAATCATTTTTCTAGAAAGAATTGTCTTTGTGCTCAAAGCACGGTTTGTTACATGAAGTCAGCATTGCATTGTCTTTTCTCTAAGAAAATAAAATCTACTGGCTTTACTCCACTGTCAGAGTCAAACCAAGCAACTGAGGCCATTGTTTCAATATTTCTTAACTACACGTGCACAGTATACATACATCTGATGTGAAAACAGAAGTCAGCAAAGGCAAGGTTACCTTAAGCATCTTTGTCCACACAGAAAAATGAATATATCAAGCATAAGATTTTACGAAAATAATAACCTTTTTCCTAGTGTCTCA